GGTGCTAAATAGTTGTCGAGTTAGGAAAAGCAGTCTAATTTAGTGATTTCAATTTGATTAACGTGTTACCTACCTTTAAAAATGGTCCTGGTGATGAGATTGTATTTCGAATGTTTCATGTAATTCCCTCATCTGAGCACTAGGTGGAGTTGTAGAGCACATTTTTTTTCTGTCATCTATGCCTGGAATTGTTGATTATTTTTACTTAAAGCAGAATCTGTAGCTATAAAACATTATAATTTACATTTTATAGTAATTATTGTAGCTTTTATAATAATAATTTGTTACATTTATATAACGCTTTTCTGGGTACTCAAAAGTGCTAGATATGCTAACAAATACAAAAACACTCCTCTAGGCCTAGCCTACATAGGAGTAAACGTGTTTTTGTGCTACATTCACATTTACCTATTGATCTTACATTAAGCCTATTTAGGCTACATTTATCTATCTGTATATACACGAACATACATGTTGTGTTTACATGTTTTATGGGGACTTTCTATGAACATAAGGATTTCTACACTGTAGGCTAAACTATCCCTTTACACGAACCCTACCCCTAAACCTACTGTCAGAAAACTGCATTTTTACATTTTCAAAAAACATCACTTAGTACGATTTATAAGCTGTTTTCCCCATGGATTTTAGATATTGCCATCTTTGTTCTCATAGAGTTCAAAGCTAGTCTTTAGCTTTATCATTGTCTTCTCTCAATATTAAAATTGTAATGTATTTGCTGGATGGATAATCATGAACAGATTCATTTAGCTGAAAAGTTTAAAAAAAAAATTTGTATTGTTCTATGAAAACAGATAAAGTTATTGATTTATTGATTGATTTAGTGAACTGAACGATTCCATGTGCCTTTGTATTGTTTTTTTATTGTTTTTTGTACTTGGAGCAGTTAGCCATATTTATTAGTTCATGGTCATAGCTATGAAAGATAAAACTATCTTTAATCAATTAAAAACATAAAGCGCTGGCACAATGTGGTGTGAAATTTCATACAGCAACAAAGACTTGCATAAAGAATCCAAAAACTTTCCGGTCCCTTTCCACCCTGTCCCATACTCTTCCAAAGACCAAGATGACAGTTAGATGCACATTAAAAAATCAGTATAACTTGTATAGTGGCATAGTTCACAGTTCAATTCAAGAGCGTGAACATTTTTTCAGAGAGTCGGTCAAACTGTTCATTAAGTCTCTCCCGCAGCTGCAGGAAGAATCCGTTTGCAGCTCTGAAGTTCTCCTTCCTTCTCCACAGCACCTAACCTCACAGATCTAATTGCTGTAGCCAGGGGCTCTTTGACCAAATATGTTGTTTTGTGTTGTGCCCAGCCTTTAATTATCTCTCCTGAATGCAAAACTAAGCCTAATCTGGACTAATGAGAAGTCAAAAAGTGAGCTAAATAGAACTACGGGTGGGAAAAAATAACCCCTGTGGCGCTCCATAGAATACTTCAGTTTGCCCCCACTGTGATTAAATGACAGGCCCCATTAAAGACCATTCTCAACAACTTTCACGCAATATCTCTTACATCTCTTGTTAGCCTGTTTGTATAGTGGCC